AGATATGATCATCAGCAATCCTTCCATGGTTCCCTGTTCCCTGCTTACCTGCAAAGTTCATACCTCTTAGCCACAACTCCAGGCTTTTCATGATTTCTCACTACCAGACCCTCCTCCTAAGTCTCATTATGCAAACACCTGAAGCTCCCTAAACAAGTTACACCACTTCTGGGCCCCCAGATCTCTGTTCAAGCTATTTCCTCTGAGAAGAGCATTCATTCACAAACATTTGAGCACTGTTGTATGTGTGGCACTGCAGTTTGTGCTGGGGATATAGTGGCAATCAAGACAGACAGTCTCTTTTATGAATTACCAGTGCATGGTGGTACCAGCTATCGAGAGAGCATTTACAAATGTCTTTCTCCACGGCTCACCTGAAAAGCACTCAGCCAGTAGTTGCATTCCCTCTTCTGTGTACCATTCCCTGGCTCTCACCTTTACCTAGACTGAGCTGATCATCCACTCCTCTGAGTCTTTATTGAACCCTCAGTAACTGGATTTTCAAGACAATAATCTAAAACACTTCATTAAACTTGTATTTGGTGCCTCATATGAAAGACTGTGAACTTCTTATCCAGGCAGGTAATATGTCCTACACATTTTTATACCTATTATTCCCAGCAGGAACTCAGTCACTATAGAATAAAAAAAATCAATTACTGAATGAAGCTACTTTTGAATCCTATTGATGATGGCTCCCCAGTAGTCACAGGATAAAACACAAAACTTCCCCAATGTGGCTCTAACCCAATGTCCAAACCAGGCTGCACATTAAAATAACTGTGGATACTTCTCAAAAACACTGATGCCTAGATCCTACCTCTAGAGATTCCTGGTAAATCAGGTCTGTGAGCAGTGCCTGCGCATCGGAATTTTTTTTTAAGTACTTCAAGTGATCCCTATTGCAAGCAGGGCTAAGTTAACCACTTATTAACTGGCCCTCCTCATACATGCCGGAGAAGTACTTGCTGTCATGAAGTACATATATTTGCATGGCAACTCATCCAGGAACACAGCACAAGGGACAGTCTAAGTAGAAAGGCACAGTTAGCTGAAATATCTCTCTCCATCTCAATTTGTTCAGCAGGCCTCTGCCCACTGATGGTCACACAAGCTCCTCCTTGAGCCTCTCTCTTAATTGCCCTGGAGGATCCGTTCCCATCCACAGTCACTGTAAACAAGCCTGCCAGCATGTGCCACTTTCTGTGGAATATGTACTCCTACATGGCAACTTCAAGTGACAGTAGGACCTCACCCAAAAGAGTTGGGAAAGTTGCACCACTGCACAAGGTTACATAGAGCTCCACCTTCTAGTACAATACACAACCTCCCAGAGCAGAGATAATGGTAAAATTTAGAAAACTAATTAGGAAATTATAAGTTTCCTTATATACTAAGAGAAAATAATTATTATTATATAATGACATATATTATTATGTAATAATAATAAGGTACTTATTACCTTTGTTTTTAATATAATTTAAAATTTCTGTACCCTAATCTTTGACTGGGGGGCAATACTGGTGAATTAACCCAAGGCCTTTTATTGAGCTATACACCCAGCCCTTTTTATTTTTTAATTGAGAAAGGCTTCCACTAAGTCGCTAAGTTACCCAGGCGGGGCTTGAACTTGTGATCATCCAGCCTCGAGCTTCCCAAATACCGGGATTACAGGCATGCACTGCCTTAAACTTTGCTTTTTAATAAAGGTTTTACTTTAACAAGATGCTTGCAAACTTCATGAATATTTATTAACAATCAGCTCCAGCAAGTTAGTACAAGACTGATGTAGCACACCGCTGGAAAGGTAACACAAACAAAATGGGGCACCTCATGGGGATGTGACTGCAGCTACTTTAGATGGAATGGCTGCGGAGAAGATGATATGTGAGTTGCGGTATCAATAACAGAAAGAGCCAGCAATGCAATATTCTGGGAAAACATACCATGTCACACAGGGAACAATGAGTACTCTGGGAGAGAGACCATACTTGCTCTGAGAAGCAGAAGCTCAGGCTGACAGAAGCCCCGTGGCAAGATGAACACAGTCAGAGTGGCAGCAACTTATAGATCCTGTTGTGCAGTCTTACGGGACACTGTAAGGTACTAGACCTTTCACTGGGACTCTAACAGGGGTCCAGAATGTGGGTTACTGTGCCAAGGCTTCTTTTCATCTCGTGTCTCACTGAAAAATTTCAAGCACATCTATGGCTTCACATGCAACCTACTTGCTGATGTCTGCCAAATCTATTCAGGCCATGCCTTCTTCTTTCGGTCTCGTGGCATATTTCCAACTCCGCCTGGATGTCTACCAAACACTTATGATGTAACTAATCCATTACATGATAACCCACAAGTTAAAGATCTCACATCTCAACCTGAATACATCCCAAATGGATAGTGTTTATTAACTAACTAAACCTGCTCTTCTCTTTTTCTATCAGGAGGCATCATCTTCCCAGATGCCAATTCACAGAAACCTTACAGTAGTCAATTTCAGAAAACTTTCCTGGGCTACTATATCCAACTGGTTCCAGGGGCTGACTTACTATCCTAAGTACCACAGAAATATTCACTGACTTCCCTTCTTCCCAGCCTCACTGCCAAAGCCTTATTTTAGCCTTCTGTCACTTTTCTGGACTTCTGCCAGCGTCCTACTTGATCTTCATGTTTATCCATCAGATTTCTTCCCAACCCTGATTTGTCTTTCAATAATCTCTACTCAAATAAGAAAGGTTACCTACACAAATAATCATAACAGACATCAAGAAGTCTTAGGCTTTCTAAGTATGAATGGTTTCCTATAAAGCTAAAATTTTACCCTTAAGGGTATGCAAAGGTGATACATAAAACTAGGAAATACCCTTTGCCTACTTTCTTAGTTTTGCCTCTCATGTCCCCTTAGTTAAGCAGTTCCTGTACATGTGTGTCCTTACATCAATGTCTAAAACAGTCTTTCCCCCTGCTTATCTACCATTCACACTTCAAAAATTCAGCTCAGCTGGCATCTTTTCTTAGAACTCTTCTCTGACCCCAAACAAACCAGGTACCACTTTTCGTTACTCCCACAACATGTTGTGCATGCTTCAGTCATTGCCCTTAACCCACTAACTTGTCTTTTTCTTTCTTTCCAGACAGGGTCTCACTATGTAGTTCAGGCTGGGCTTGAACTTACTACGTAGCACAGGCTGGCCTCAAACTCCTGCCTCAGCCTCCCAAGTGCCCTCCAACTTGTAATTATTTGTTTACTTTTATGACTCCTGTGTCCTTAAAGGTAATAGTTGGATCTGTAACTCCATAAGTATCTTAAACATTAAGAATAATAACTAAGAGACCTAGGCACTCCTAACATTTGTTGCAATCAGTGGTATCTTAAGTATTTCTAAAGTGTAACTTTCAGATAAGACAGGAAGTATTGCACAATAACAGTGTGGCTGAGGATACAGGGGCAGCTTGAAGTGGTAAGAAACAGTTCAGGTTATAAAGTAAGGCTATGCAGTCACAGAGTAGCAGGAACTGCTGGAAAGGAGAGGGCTCCCATGCCATTGCCTTGGGCTTACACATGAAAAAGTGGACAAAAGTTTTATCATTTAAGAACCACTAAAGGAGAAAGTAAAATTTAACTACGTTTTTAAATATACAATAAAAAAATTCTAGTCAATTCATAAACCAATTTAGGAATGAAAAAGCAATTTACTTCGAGTGGAATCTGTACAGTCTCCTTCCTCCCATGCCTTCTCTGAAGTAACAGAGTTAGAAAACAAATGTGAAATCTTTCCACCAAAGAACTGTAGGTGACCGAATCAGTGAGAAGAGAGAGGCTTTGGAGATACTAACTGCCAGGATATGGAAATACACCTTTCAAATCGATTTTTAAACTTCCTTCTAAAGTAGATAAAAATTAATCTAGTAGTTAAAAACAATAAAAACCTGATCCACTGCCCCAGAACTGGGCAATTCCAAGAGATACAAACCTCTCACTTTGCAATTTCTTCAAGAAAACTGTGAGTAACCAACATTCTCTTGGTTGAGGGGCGGAACCGTTAAAAGTAGAAGAGGAAGAAGGGTTTGGGGGTGAGAAAGCAAGCGGGAAAGAGGCTGAACGGCACTGACTGTCTGTCCTCCAAAATCACTTGTGGAAAAAGTGCAGAGATGAACAGATGAACAGAAGACAAAAGCAAGCAGTGTAAGCTTTTAGAAGTTCTAAAACGTCCTAGAGACTCAAAAACTGCTCCCGCCTATAAGCTGAATACTTTTTCTCCCAGGAATGTCACTGCAGCGAAAGAGGGATGTGGTGCTGTGGGCCACCCGAGCTGGGAGTGACCGACCCACAGTTTCTCAGCGAGCCGGACAAGGTCTCGCCAGATAGACAAGCGTCCAATTCTCATCTTACATGCATGTGTCCAGGGGGCCTGGGGTCTGACAGGGAGAAAGGGAACAAACGAGTGGAAAATGACCAAAGAACTTCACCGGAGAAAACTTGCAAAAACATCGCGCGTTTACAGAGGAGCTTAGCGGTATAGCGTTGCCGTGGAAACCAAGCCGAGTGCCCAACATCTCCAGGGAGCGGTCTTGGGACCACTTTTCTGGGCCACGGTCAGTGAGCGTGGGGAGCTACGGACGGAGAAAGGAGTCCTTTCTCATGGCTGCGCCCCAGGCCTCGATCTCCAGGGAGCCTACCGCGTAGAGGAGCACGACAGCGCCGGGACTGGTGGAGCTGGCGGAGAAGTGGAAGTTAGCGGGGCGCGGAGAGTCCATGGCACGGTTGCCGTCCCGGGCAGGGTCTGGGATCCTCTGCTACGCGGCTGCAGTGCAGCCGCTGGGGGCGGTTCTTCCGCGCGTGGAGGCCTGACCTCGCCCAGGGCGGCGGCACCCTTTACAGCCGCCACTCGGGACCCCGGGCGCCGCCATCTTAGCCAGGACGGAAGCCGCGCGGGGCCCTGTGGCGCCCGCGCGCACACGGAGCCGGAAACGGAAGTGGCGAGCGCGACTTGAGCTGAAGCTGGGGTCAGTAGTCATCCTATGGCACCGGAGAAGGGGTCGGGGCCAGGTGGTGCGGCGCCTGAGGGCACTGAGAAGATCTTGGACGCCCTGTTGCAGACTCTCTACGATGTGGGTGAGTGAGGTGCCGTGTTTTGGACCGGATGCTCGGCCGCCTGGGGAGCTGCTGGAATAGTGCAGAGGACCTCAGGCTCAGGGATCACACCCCAACCCCACCCCCGGGGACTGGGCCCTGTCCGCAGGTACTCGTGGTCACCTGGCCGCCTGGGCTCCCGAGCCCCTGCCCAGTGCATTGGCCTCGCCACCAGCCCCCGCACCCCCAGCCTTCGCTTATCTTAAATGAGGGGAAAGTAAAAAAAAAAAAAAGGTTACTATTGAACATTGGCCACGGCCTGGCCCTTCAGCCGGACGGTCTTTCACACTCTGAAGAGCTGACATGGACGTTCTTGTCTTGTAGTGTCAAACTCGCTCCTTAGATTTACGGTGATGCTGCACATGCTACTTTGTTTTTATTTTGGAGCAGTTGCTCAAAATTTTAAGCTTGCTTACTTACACAGTAAGAGTAACAGCTTAAGGAAGACTTTACAGTATACTACATGCTTTACTTGTATTCACTCTGTGACTCTCAGAACAACCCTCTGATTTTTCGTATAGATACCGTCATTAAGCCATCATTGCAAATGTAGAAATGAACACTATATATATATATGTATATATATATATATTTTGTTTGTTTGTTTGTTTGTTTTGTTTTTGGTACTAGAAAGCGAACTCAGGACCTTGCGCTTGCTAGGCAGGCGCTTGTGCCGCTGAGCTGTATCTCCAGCCCGAGCACTAGATTTTTTAAAGGGTTGCTGCAGGCAACCTCAATGATAACTTGCAAAGCTTAGGTTCCAGCCCTCACAGGCTAGCCCTGTACCCTATTGTATTGACTTGTATTGACTTGCTGTATTGACTTGCTGTATTGACAGAGCATCTCAGTGCCCTTGAAATAACTGGAAAATAGAAAAAGACCTCATCAAATCACTGACCTTGGGGAATTTAAAATGTAGAGGAAGAGGCTGTTCTGCAAAATCATACATACAGTTTATGTCCACACAGGCTGGAAATCATTATCCTTACAGCTCTGAAGGCCTGGACTGGATATACTCATTTTGGTATTTCTAGTGCTAAAGTTTTTGTTAGCTCTTAATAAGTGTTGTTTGCGTAAAATACCGCTGTTTAGAGAGCTCTTGTGTTTGTACTGTAGGTGAATAATGAGGCCTAGAATTTTGGTCAGAGCTTTCGGATGATTGATCAGACTTTGAGTAAATGAAACAGAAGGGTGAATGTGGATCTTTAGTAGAAAAATAGAGATATTTGTATGAAGCCCATCATGTTAGGGTCTCCTTAATTGATAACTGAAGGAAAATTGGAAGACCATTACACATACCTACAGCTTTAGAAGGTGCTGAAAAGAAACACTGGCTTCAGTGGCAGTTTTTAGTACAAAGTATGAAGCAACTGAGATTCCCAGTCCTGGGACTGTTGCCATGCTGAAGCTTTGAGGATCAAGTCCCAGTACCAAAAAAAATAAACTTTGAGGAAAGACCAAGGTGTGGACTAGAGTAATTGTGCTAATAAAGGCCAAAGACATAAATGTTACCTAGGAGAAAATGGCTATATTTTGGATTCTATAAGTTGTGGAAATACACCTTACTTGAAGAGAAGCAAATACGTAATTTATTTTTTTGTGTGTACTTCTGGGCGCTTATAGCTGTGGCATATACACAGTGCGTTCATATGATTTGATATTGGTGTTAGCTAAAACTGAAAATACTTGTTTTTCATTTTTGTATATTTGAACAAACAGGAGAGAAAGATGAAACAGAACAGAAGAAAATCAGAAAAAAGAGAGAAAACAGGAAGACAGATGGGGTTGCAGTAGCTGTAGCAGCAGAGAGAACCCTGCCTGGTTCTTTCACAAAAAACCAGAAGAAGAGTGCTTCCAGCTTTTTCAGGGAACTCAGAGAAGAGTTGAACTGTGCTCCTGAGGTCACTTCACACAATCCACCTTCAGGAGCAAAGGTCCTTGCTGCTATAGGATCATCTTCTTCCCTGCAAAACAACAGGGAGCAAGTGGAAGTGATAGAATTTCACGGCAGAAATAAAAAAAGAAAACTGAAGCCAGATCAAGATGAGTGCGTAAAGGTATTGTGCTGGTTGGTTTATATATGTATGCTGAGGCCCTTGATATTGTGGTGTTAGGTGACTGCCCTTATAGGCTGCATCGGGGTGGTGAGGATTTGAGAAATACACAGGATTTAGCACATAATTCTTATCATCCACACAGGCAGATAGAGTGATATTAGTTACCAAGCTCGAGCCCTCCAGAGAAAAGCAGGTGTTCATTATAGATCTCGTTGGTGTAAACACGAAGTAGATTTGGTATAGCAGTGGCCCAGATCCAGTGTGTGCAGAAACACTGATCAGAATAGTTTGCTTCGGGAGCCAGTGATCAGCAAATTGTAGAAACAGGACTGTTTTGGGAATTTCAGGGTTTGAAAAACCCAGACCTTCTCTGCTAATGCTTTCCTACTTCTGAGCCTTATGCTTGTTTGCCATAGAGAAAGACATTCTTAATACGTGCTGGCCATTTTTCTAGGTACTGGGATATAGCAGTGAACAAAATGTACAGTAATCTTCACTCTGAAGGAATTTGTATTCAGATGGAAAGCAATCTGATTTTCCTGATCACAAGTCTGTTTCAGATTGAATGTAAATCCAACCCAAAATTCAGTCCATAGAGGAAGTGTGGTTATTCTTTCAAACTGTTTTTCCCTCATAAGGATAGCTTAGTGGCTTTGTCACATTCATTGCTAGTATCTAAAGATCCCATTTCTTTAGCATTTCCCTAAGTTTTATCAACTTTTGTTTAAAAAAAAGAGGATTCTATTATAGTAACACCTTGGTTCTTGAATGCTTCTGTTTGCAAACAATTCAGTTCTCAAAAGTATTCAACAAAATTGTTTCTGTTCACAAACTCTACATCGGGTGACAAACAGCTGCAGCCATCTTCCTCAAATTCATAAAACAAATTCGTGAACTGAGGTACCACTGTGTGTTTTACAGTTGCTATGACAGATACCACAAATTTGGTAACTTAACACAATGGAGATTTATTGCCTTGCAGTTCCAGGGGCCAGAAGTCCAAAGTCCAGGTGTTGGTAGAGCTGTGGTTCCTCTTGAGGGCTTTAGGAGAGAATCCTTCCTTGCCTCTTTGACAAGAGGTGATTTCAGGCATCCCTTAGCTTATGGCTACATAACTCCTGTCTCTGCCTTATCATTATGTGGCATATATCCGTATAGGTTTGAATCTCCTATTTTCCTCTGCCTTTTTCTGATAAGGACACTTGTCTTTGGGTTTAGAATTCCCTCTAAATCCCAGATGATCTCAGCTAGAGACCCTTAATGTATATACACTCTAGAGATGTTTCTTTTCAGATAAGGTCACATTCACAAGTTGTAGATATTAGCACATAGTCATATCTTTTGAAAGCCACAGTGCCACCCACTAAAAAAGGTAGTTTGGCTTGCATTATTTCCTATGAATATATGAATGCATGTTAGTGCCTAGTGTTTTGCCGTATCCTTGTTGCTCTAGAAACATCTATGTACTCCTCTAGAATCCATGCTACATTTCATGTCCAGTTCACTAACATCACTTCCTCAAAGAATATGAGAACAGTCTATTCATATCTGCCTTTATTTTAGGATTCCAGGTCAGCTTCCCAACTCGTCTGCTATAAATACTGGAGCACTGGGACCTGTTACATGTGGGCCAAAAAATAGCCCTTAGGACAGCCAGAGCCTTCAAGCTGGCCATCTCCTGTTACCCCATAGTACCTACAAATATTAGCATTTTCCAGGTGTGCCATCATGTGAAAAGGTGGGAAAGACTGCTTTGCAGTGTAATTCTGGAGCACTGCATCAGCAGTTAGCATCTGGGCATCCTCCCTCATCTCATTGAATCTCAGGCTTTCGTTTCCTCATATACTCACTTGGGCTCCCCTTTCCGGAAGAGCAAGTTTTCTTATTAATAGAGCAGAAATAAAGTTAGTGTTAAATGAATCTGTGTTTCTCCATCTCTTGGTAATAGAACATCTGGGGCAGGCTGTCAAATGGTCTTTTTCTTCCTGTTCCAAGTGAGTGCTTTTTATTGTAGTTGGGTTTTCTCAGGAACCTCAGCTTTTTCTGCATTTTTAATTTCCTGAGCCTAAAGAAATTTTCAATTTGTCCTTGATGCTCTGCCCTTCTAAAAAAACTTATCCTTTGAAAATGTATGTGTGTCTGGTTAAGGAGCCAGAATGTGGACCAGTAAATATATATCTGCCCATAAGAAAACTTTGAGGTGTTGGCATTGCAGCATGTGAGTAGGTGCAGATGAATGTAGTGCTGGCTGCTTTGGTACCTCCAGGAGCAGGCAGGCCAGATAAAGGGGAGTCAGTTGGGGCTGATGAGAATATAGTATTGTACTAAGAGTTTTGTTAATGAGGGAGAGTGTGGTTGGTTCTTGTTCTCTGAAAACATGTAAGCCATTGTAGGACAGGTCAGACAGACCTGGTGCTGGCACAAATGTGTGATAACATAGTGATGGTCTCCACTGAATGATCTGGGAGTCTGCTATTCATCTTTCGAGAGAACATGAGAAAGGAAGAGGTGGTGATAGTAGTCCCACTGACTGGTCCTGCCTGAACACAGTAAATGACCTAATTTTCCTAGTGCTTAGTTGAGCCATAAATTCTATGACACTGGGTTGTGAGCTTGTCTAAGAATGTGGCTACCATCCATTTATATAATATTTGACCTGTTGCAGATGGTTAGCCTATGGATGAACTTCCCGGTCATGTCTCACTTTTAATGCAATGTCTATAGACATACTTTCACAAGACATACTAGGTAAAGGGTCACCTATTTATTTGTCTATTTTACTAATAATTGGGTGTCTGTCATTTACCACTCCTTAGAGACACTGCGTTGAACAAGTATAGTACTCTGTCCTTGTGGAGCATACATTTCCATTTACTATGAAGACAGGCAAAGTCCCAGATAAATTATAAAGTTACAAACACTCTAAAGGAAACAGATAGGGTTCATTCGTTGGTTCTTTCTTTCTTTCTTTTTCTTTCTCTCTTCTCTTCTCTTCTCTTCTCTTCTCTTCTCTTCTCTTTCTAGCCCAGGATGGTCTTGAACTCACAGCAATCCTCCTGCCTCAGCCTCCCGAGTGCTGAAATTACAGGCATGCTCCACCACTTGCAGCCAAGGTGTTCTGAGAATAACAGCAAAACCTACTCACTATCACGTGGTCAAGGAGGTCTCTGAGGAGGTCCTGTTCAGGCAAATGCCGGATAAATGGTGCTAGAAAGAGGCAGGGAAGAATCACACAGGGAGGGGCAAATAGTCTTCAGGGAGCTGGAAGACCAGCAGGAGGGCACAGCAGTGTGAGCTGACGCAGGCAGGGGCAGCCCTCATCAGATCTGAGAGGCAGTGGTGAGGCCTTCCAGCTGTAAAGTACATAAGAAGCCACCAGAGAATTATAAGTGAGGGCAGAAAGTGGTCTGATTTATCTTTTTGAATGAATTAGGTTGTAGGTAGGCAACAGCAAGAGGCATGAGGGGGGCTGGCGTGGTGGTGCACCCCTATAATCCCAGCACTCAAGAGGTTGAGGCAGGAGGATTGCCACAATTTGAGTCCAGCTGGACTATACAGTGAGTTCAGGACCAGCCTGAACTACATAGCAAGACCCTGTCTCAAGAAGAGAGGCATAAGTGGGCTGAGTGAGGGCTTGGTGCAGTGGTCCAGATGTGAAATGGGGTGGCCTGGACTTGAGGAAGGAATGCATAAACTCACTCTTTAATCGGTGCAGAATTGCCTGGGAGAAAGAACATTCTTGTGTGTGCTGCCCACCCCCTACCCCCATTACAGTACTGGGAACTGAACTGAGCTACAACCCCAGCTATTGTAGCTTTATTTTGAGACAGGGTCTCACTAGGTTGTCCATGCTGGGCTTGAACTCAAGCCTGGCTCATTCTTAAGTTCTTTAAGCAATAAAAATGTCAGGTGTAGCATGAGGTGATCCAAGTGTTCCCTGGCCCTTGGGGCTTTCAGTGCGGCCTCTCCACCCCAGCATTGCTCCATCTTAGCGCAGCTCATTCACTGCCATGCTCTAGGAATCTTCCACTCCTTCATGGCCTACATTAAAAGGGACCAGAAGCATACTGTAATGGGAAGAACAGAATGGTGTGCTGCAGGTCTGAACAGGCTCCTGTGTGTGACCTGGACCAAGCATGGAAGTGGCTTCTGGTACAGGAGCTGCTGCTGTTTGGGAATCCTGCTGTGTACCCAGAGTGGTTATCCATATCCGATAACCCACCCGGCATCTCACTTAAGCCTCACCATTCCTGGGACCTGTCCTCATTTCACAGAGGAGCTGGGTGCGAGATGGGTAATGTTACTGCTTGCAGTTAAACATCAGCCCCATGGTATAGTACTTGCTACTCAGAACAGTGCCGTAAACCATATTGGTTGTTTTCTCTTTTAAGATTATGCAAATTCGTTTGGCAGAGAAACCTGAGGAGGCTTTTTTGTTCATCATTTTACAGGTGACTATTCATGGAGATTACTGCAGAAATATCCGTGTATGTGTCTATGGGTTGCTGGCTTAGGCCTTACTATTCACTCTACTCAGTACTGCTGTTCTAAAAGTGTGGAGACATCTGAAAAGTTTGAAGCTGGAGCCTGATCGTAGGCGTCCAGATAAAGGGCTGTGGGTCTGAAATAAGTGCCAAAGTTTAGATTTAGCCTCAGGCATTCTGGCTTCAAGGCAGTGTACTTAACAGCTCCATGGAAATCAGATAGAGCCTCATTGTGCTTTGAGTAAGAAAGTGCGTGAATCAGAATCACCACCAGATAAGATATCTCCCTCACATTATTGTCAGATAGCACTGACCATGTGCAGGTATTTGGTCAGTACCTGGTGCTGTCCTCACCCCACAGTGCCCCAGGGTCACCCCTGTCTATACTGCACTCTCTGGTTGGAAGTAGAGCCAGCGTCAAATCAGTGTTAGGAAGAAAGTATAGTAATTGAGGCAGTTTATACTCAACAAGGTGTGGACAAAGTTTTTAATATTCCTAAAATTGGCTGTGGTTTTAGAAAAATGTTTAACTTGGCTACTTTCCCTGGAGACAGATTTGGCATGTAATCAATAGCTTAAAGAAAAATCCAAGCTGTAGAGAAAAAGATGCTCCTGATCAGCAAGTCAGCCGTGAACAGATTTGCTAATTCTGGAAGTTGGCCTGCCTTCTTCCCTCCCCTCTTAGTCTTCTTCCAAAACTCTCTTTTTATAGCCTTTCACCTTTTTTCTTTGCCTAACGTACAAGTTGCCCAAATCTCCCAACATTTCTCTCGCTTGTGTGGGACGGAATGGCTAGAGGAGTTGGGATAGGGTCGGAGAGTGACAGCGAACCTTTTAGAGATTGAGTGCCAGACTGCAACCCCCAAACCCACTTATTTACCACAAAGTGCCCACAGTGCAATTAGACCTGCATACCGAGGTTTTAGTTTAGAAAAAACAACTCATACATTAACATCTTTTGTCTTAAAAGAAAAAAACACAATAGGACATGTGTCATAGGTTGGACACTGCTGGGTTAGGCTATTGCTTACGTCTCAGTGATTCAAAAGGTAAAGGTTTTTCTGTGTTACATGTCTGCCCTGTCTCTTGCCCTGGGGACCATGGTAGTGGGTGCCAACATCTGGCACCACCACCCCTTTTCTTCACTAAATACTGATGGCTCTTAAGAGTTCCAGCTAGAAGGACAGACACCCTCACTGCTCATATTCCTTGCACAGAGGACACATAGGCCTGGCTAATACAAGCCACTTCCCAGCATTGACAGTAATGCCTCTCACTGTGGTTGCTAACGTGGGAAGTGTATCATGAATAACAGACTGAAGTGATATTAAAGCTATCAGTAAAAAGTTAGAACCCAGTGTAATCCCAGGACTCTGGGAGGCTGAAATAAGAGGATCACCAAGTTTGAGCCCAGCCCAGGCTTAGCAAGACCCAGATATATAACTCAGTGTGAAGGCTCTGAATTGAAACCCCAGATGACAAAAGAAGAAAGTTCACAGTAGTGAAGTCATGCTAATAGACAGCATTCACAAAGTCATTATCCAAGGTGTTGTCCCTGGAAAAGTGTTTGTATTTGTTATATACAGAGAACTAGACCTCAGACCCTTTCGCAGAAACGTGTCAACAGCTACAAAATTTAGGACTTTTCTGGCAAAATGTTAAGGGATGTGGACATCAGGTGTCTGTGTCCAGGCCAGATATGCCCCCTGCCAGGGCCTACCCTTCGTTTGGTCTAGCAGCACCTCCCCATGTCCCCACAGCCAAGGTGACAGGACTGAGGTGCAGGGACTGGGTATGCTATGGGGCTTCTGTTGGAGAAAGCAGGGACTCAGGCTGGCCACTGCCCCCTCTTCTGAGGGCCAGTAACCCCCCAGGGCCCAGGGGTCTCTAGCTGTCACAAGAATTTTACCCCAGTGATTATTCCTTTATAAATGGTTCTATTCTTGTGCCAGTTTCCTGGCAACATACCAGCCAGGAGCATCGGTGACATCCCCAGTATTGCTGGAAGTGGAATTGCTTAAAAGAAAGGGAGCAGTTAGGCAGTCCCACAGGATTCTGGAGATCTGCTAACAGTATAAAGGGATTTTGTTTTGATTTTTTTTGTGGTCTTTTTTTTTTTGAGACGGTCTCACTATGCAGTTCAGGCTGTCCTTGAGGTTCACTTTATAGCCCAGGCTGGTCTCGAGCTCCCAATAATCCTCCTGCCTCGGCCTCCTGAGTACTGGGATTGCAGGTGTGCACCACCACACCTAGCTTGTTTTGATTTTTTTTTATATTGAATTTGCATTTGGAAGATTTAGATATGTGATCCTGATATTAGTAAAATTTAATCCTTCAAAAGTGTCTTGCTTCTAGCACTCTAGAAGGCTGAGTCAGGAGAATTGAAAGTTCAAGCCCAACCTGGGTACCTTAATAAGACTTTGACTTAAAAGAAATAAGAAGAAAGGCTGGTGATATAACTTAGTACTGGATTCAATCCCCAGTACTGCCAAAGAAAGGAAAAAAGAAAAAAAGATGATAAACAATAAATCATCTTAAGTAGATTAGAGTGCATGTCAGTGGAAAAGATACCTTAACTTCAAAGGAAATGTAAGATTTTTTTTTCCAGTCATGGAATGAAAGACTTCCTGGGGTGGATAAAAAGAACATGCCCTTTGCAGCTTTCTCTGTGCTGTGCCTGTGGTCCTAAGGAAGGCATTTGATGCCCTCAATCTGAGGAAAGTCCTAAGCATAATAAAAGCCAGCAGCTTGATACAGAGAGATGGGGAATGCATTCATTTTGGTTGATGGCAGACAACCGGGCCACGTGCCTGAACATTGTAAGCTACCAGCACCCAAGCCGCATGTGCGACAGCAGGCGTGCAGGGATATGGTGCGGCCGTGCTGTGATGATCACAGGCAGCACATACGTTGGTAGGAAGAGTACTGGCCATGTCTTCAGGCTTGTTGGACGCTGTGCTGCCTACTCACCAGATGGTATCCTATTTCATTCTAATAGCGGCCCGCCTATGCGGTGGATCAAGGGTCCTCATCAGCCAAGTGGTCATCTTATAGGGTGCAGAAGCCATCACCTGTGAAAACATTCACTGGCTGACTCACACACCTACTGGGGCGGGACACCAGGAAGAGCCAGAGCACAGCTCCCTTTGAGGAAGAGAGCAAGAGACAGGCTGTGCTGTGATGGGTGTCTTCCTGCTGTGTGGGGAGGGGCAGCTACTGGCAGAGCGGACCAGCTCCTTCACTGTCCTCAGGGAGACACTGCGTTTCCTAGAGGCTGCATAGCGTTCACTGCTCACTTTCTGTCAGGACAGAATCAGGCCTGCGGTTGAGTGGTGACTGCTGGTAGCCAGATGTGGAGTCTGACAGTAGCTCCTGGAATGTATTGGGTGCCTGGTCTGTTGTGGGGCTTGCAACTATGGCCAGGTGTTGGTGTGAGGGGTTATAGATGGGAAGGGTGTTTGCCATCAGGAATTATAAACAAACCTCTATCATTGCTGAAAGTCTGTTTCAGAAAGAATGTTCAACCCAAGAGAATTCACCATCGCCCTGATAGATGGGAGGAAGAAAAGAAAATGATGAAACGCAGCCGTTTCACCTGCTCAGACAGGGCTCCTCTCTGAACCCCTCACCAGGCAAAATTTTCTGTCTGGTCCAGGAGAGGCAAATGTTGCTCTCTCTTACCTGCTTTCCTTTTTTTCTTACTTTTGTCATTTTCTTATGCCTTGCCTTAAAAAATACTTTCTCCATGTTTCTTAACTGTTAATTAGGATTTTAAGCAACATGTTTATATAATCATTTGATATTTCAATATCTGGGCCAGTTCCAAGGCTTGTTCTTCTTTTCCATATTTTTTATTGTGGTAAATTACACACAACATAAAATTTACCATCTTAGCTATTTTTTAATCAAGTGATTCAAAGGTGTTAAATACCCAGCTGTTGTCCAGCCATCACCACCACCTATCCCCAGAACTTTCATCTTGTAAAACTCAGTCTCCGTCCCCATTAATCACTAGTTCCCCATTTCCTTCCCAGCCCCTGGAAGCCTCTGTGCTACTTCCTGTCTGTGAATATGCCTGCACCGGGCACCTTGTACAAGTAGAATTGTAACAGTATTTGCCTTTATGTGACTGGCTTTTTCGTGTAGCATAAGGCCTTCGCGATCTGTTGAAGTTTATCTCAGAATTTCCTTTTCTTGTTGTTGTTTTGTGGCAGGGATGGAACCCAGTGCTTTGCACTTGCTAGGCAGTTGTTCTCCTCCTGAGCCATCTTCCAGCTGAGATTTTTTTTTTTTTTTGGTAGTACTGGGCACAAACCCAGAACCTTTTATACTGAGCTAGCTCCCCAATTCCTTTTTATTTTTATTTTTAAACTTTGAAACAGAATCTCTCTAAGTCACTATGTTGCCCAGGGTGAGCTAAAATTTGTGATTCTCCTGCCTCAGCCTCCCAGAGTGCTGGAATTATAGGTGTGTACCACCATGCATGGCTCAGAATTTCCTTTCTTTAAAGGCTAAGTAACACCTCATTTGTAGATGCACCATGGTGTTCACTCAATGTACCTACTGGTAGATACTTGGATTGCTTTGCAGTTAGCTATTATAAGAGTGCTGCCTTGAACATAGTTGTACAGATTTCTTCAAAATCCTGTCTT